GCTTCAGGTGTCTAAATGTTCCGAAGAAATAAAAAACTACATTGAAGAACGTTCTGGGGAGGATCCTCTGGTGAAAGGAATTCCAGAAGACAAGAACCCCTTTAAAGAGAAAGGCAGCTGCATTATTTCCTAAATAGCCCCGGGGAGCAGCTCTGTCCTCCGTGGAAGAACTAGCTTGTTTTAGTTTTCCGAAATAAAACCGATGTGCCTCTTAAAGGAGGCAAAACGAAATTGAAAGCGGACTTGCTCGAGCACTTACCTAGACACGGTTTTGTATATCTCGTCTTGGCTCGCTACTTGCCCTCCTGAAGAGGACAGAGAGTGTCACCTGGACAGTGATGGAGATTAGGACGTTACCTGTGCATGGCTCACCTCTTTCAGTATATTGCTTGATGCCTCAAATAAAGTGCTATCTCTGGAAAATGAGTGTTGGCGATTGAAGGCTTTTTCAATTATTATTCACTTTCATTATTTCTCCCCATGCAATGTTGGGTGTTTGGGACCTATATAAGATGAGGTGGTTTGATGGATCAGGTCTCCTGGCCAGTTCCCTCTGCTTTCAGACCTCTCAGGGGTTTTACATTGCTGAGCTCGGACTTCTGCAATGTTTTCCACCTAACAGTAATATTAGGGAACTGAGGGAGTAGAATCCCTAATGCTGACAGGGGTCAGATGATCCGCGTGAGGAAGGAACCAGGCCAGACCACTTCCTGAGTTTATCATCGCATACATCTTGTTCAGGGTGTTGCTGCCTCCCTGGCCGTGGGAAAGTGGGGGGACTGGGGATCGGGGATCATGAGCACACGGAGGGGGGGCCAGCTCGGGACGTTCACCCCCAGGGCGCTGCATCGCCCACGTGGTCTCAAGGTCTTGGGCATCCCAACCCTGCAGCTGGTGGCATTGGCACAGGCACTTGGCTCTGCCTCGGCTCCTGCCAGCCTTTTCCAGCAGGCCTGGGCCAAGCACACCTCTTTCCCTGTTCCTCCAAAGGAACCAGTTAATCTTTTGCCTGTGTCTAAAATTTGCTTGACTTTTTCGTCGTTGACTTGTAGGAATTCTCCCTCTACTTCTGATCATTCGTCCTTTGTCAATAAGGTGTTGCAAATACCTTTTCCCAGTCCGTGGCTTCATGTTCATAGTGGGTCACAGCTGCCGCAGTTTTAGCCAGAATGCGTGGTCTGATCGAACCCAACAGTTTTCTTCTGTTGCCTGAGAAAGCACCTGCATGTCGGACTTCAAAGAAAGGGACCTTTCTTCCAGGTTTCTCCTGGATCGGGCCTTTTCGCCTACCTAGAGGCGTAGGTGTAACTTATCAAGCCAGAGAGGTGCTCGTGACCCCTTAGCAGCTTCCTAAAGTCTATCAGCACCCTCACTCTGAAAATACTTTCCGTTCCCTCCCTGCAAAAGAACAGGATACCCCGGGGGCATTTGAAAGAACAGGTTATAGCAAACTGAGAGCTGGGACCATTTCCTTCTGTTTCCTGCCTTTTCCCAAGTGCTGACGTCAATCGGAATTACCGAGAGCCCCAGGATAATTTTAGATGAAAGCATGATTTACTCCAAGGTGAGGTTAAGGACGGTAAAGGTACGTATATTTTCTCCAACGGCCACAAAACAATTAGTATTTGGGAGGTGTTTCTACTATTTAATATTTAGGTGGCCTAAGATTTCAGTACCTTGGTGCTTGTTGAGTTTTACATGAATGAGCTGTTCAGTTTCAAGTCATAAAGTTTTCTTCTGTTGCATGAGAAAGCAAACATCAATTCTGGTTGTTGGTAAAGCAGATTAAATCATGTGCTTCCTTCATGGGGGGCCAGATCCATACATTTATCCCCTAACTTTCTAAGAGTTGTGGATTACAAGGCAGTACCCTGAATTTCTATCAGGCACATCCAGCTATCCATTCACGTGCACCTCCATGAGGTCCTAGCTTTTACATTTCATATACTTTCAACCATATGACAAATTAGCCAATGTCTGGTTTTTCCTTAAACAGCTGATCTTGTAGATGTTTCTACTAAATCTAATTCTATTCTATTTTTCTTACTGTTTCGTCATAGTAACTCAGCAAACTTATAGAAGTGTAACAAAATCCTTTTGATTTTCTACTAAAAACCTATTAGCTTGCATTTAAAGAAAATGAAAAAAAATGGTAGCTACACATTTGGATATATTATAAAAATAACTTTTAGTGTGTGGGAATTTGTGAAGTACAATTTAAATCATGGGTTCAGTTTCTTCCTGGTAAACTACACGGTAGTTTGCAGTAGTTTGGTAACTGATAAAATATTTACTGTGCTTTGTGTATTGAGACTTAGATTCTATGAACTCAAGTTAGCAAAATTGGCTTTTCTCTTTCTAGGCAGAATCTATAGTAGAAGCTCACCCACACTTGGTATTTTAAGGACGTTTATTTTGTATGTTGCTGCAAACTGATGTCTCATTATTGTCTAAATTTGCATTTCCTTGATTTCCTGTGATTTTTTACAGTCAGATTTTCATGTACCTTTTGATCACCTTCACCTATTTCACCCACCCTCAATTCCCTGCCTGTAGTAACCATCAGTCTGTATCTATGAGTTTGGTTTTCTTTTTTCTTTTCTTTTTTCCTTTTTAGGTTCCACATATAAGTGAAATCACACAATATTTGTCTTTTTCAGTCAGACTTAATTGATTTAGCATAATGCCCTCAAGGTCCATTATACTGTAGCAATGGCAAGATTTCCTTCTTTTGTTATGGCTGAATAATATTCCATTGTGTGTATATATATAAATATTTCATATTTTCTTTATCCATTCATCCATCAAGGGACATTTAGTTTCCATATCTTGGCTATCATAAATAATGCTGCAATGGACATGGGGGTGCATATATCTTTTCAAGTTAATGTTTTCATTTTCTTCTGATAAATTCTCAGAAGTGGAATAGCTGGATCATGTGGTAGTTCTATTTTTAATTTTCGAGGAAACTCTATGCTGTTTTCCATAGTAACTGCACCAGTTTACACTCTTAGCAACAGTGCACAGGGATTCTCTTTTCTCCAAATCCTCACCAACACATGTTGTCTCTTGTCTTTTTAATAATAGCCATCACAGCCATAATAACATAACCTAATAATGTAACATCTATAGCAAGTGTGAGGTAATATCTCATTGTGGTTTTTATTTGCATTTCCCTGATGATTAGTGATGTTAAGCATTTTTTATGGGCCTATTCTCATTTGCTTTTATTTGTTTAAAGAAACATTGGCAGGTCATACAAGAAACTAATACATATTGCTACCCATTAGGGCCAATGTTGGGTATAACCAGGTGGGCAAGAAGGAGATTGAGATTTCTCATTGTATATTTTTCTATAAAGTTTTAACTATTTGGACCCTGAGGATATATTATCTGGTTTTAAAACTAAACTTAATTTTAAAATAAAAAACAGAAACAAAATTTATAGGGCTATGTTTAGGCTTTGGAGAGTAAGTCTATTTTGGTATTAATGTCCTATGAATCAGACATATAAGTTTGTATGGTCAACATGACTTGGCTAGTAGTATATGTTGATCTGTTAAGCTTGTCCTACTAAGACAAAGATACTGAGTCAGTAATAGTTATATTTCACCATTATCCCCTCGAACTGAGTCCTAGAAGGAGAAATAAGCCCCTATTTTGAATATAACAGTCTAGAAGAGCAGCTGCTACTGAGAAGGTGCCTTTGGTCTAATAGAGAGGAGTTGGGTGGTGAGAGAAGGGAAGTGCTCTCCTGTTAGGATGAACCGGCCACCCCACTCTGTGCATTGGGCTGTCCTCATGGGAAGACCATTCAACAACAAAAATATTTGGAGCCCCCTGTATGTACTAGGCACTTGTTTAGTCTTAAAGGGTATAGTGGTGGATTGGACAAAGTTCAACATCATGGAATGCATAGAAATTATAATTAATCAGGTATCAGTAGAGATGGAGCACATTATGATATATAAGTTAAGATGAATAGGAAAGTGTTTTTCATATTTTTTGAGGATGATGGTGATGAATGGTGATGGTGATGATGGTGATGATGATGATGGTAACTTGTACATATGAAGTGCTTAATATTTGTCTGGCGCCGGGTAACCTTTCTACATAGATTATGTTTTTTAATTCTCACAAGTACCTTATGTATCGGGTAAATAATTTACATAAAGTCATATAGCTAGTGTCACTGGCAAAACAGACACCGTGCCTTAAACGTTATTGCAATGCTACCTCTCTTGTAGGAGCCAGTGCGTATGCAGGGTTAAAAGAACTATTAGCTCGCCAATCTTCTGAAGTGGCTTTTGGCATAGGTAAAATAAGCCAGCTGCGATAGCCTCAGAAATCTTTAGCCCAGGAGTATGACATAGAACTTTATAGTAGCTCATTTTAGTTGTTTTTATTTGTTGGTTGGTTGTTTCTTTTTAATCACAGCCTAACACAACAATTTTAACCTGTACCAAGTAAGATAATTTTGCCTTCTTAATAAAAATCATATCATGACTCTAAATTATTATAACAGTGATAAACTTTAACTTGCTAAATAATATAATCTCTCGGTTTAGTGCCAGAATTTTATCTGATACAAACTGCATGAATGAGGGCAGAATGCTTAGAAGAAATAAATCAGACTCTGTAAGTACTTTCTCGAAAATATCAAAATGATTTAAGTGACAGTCAGCCCTAGAGAAATGCCTAAAGGTACTAACCAATCTTTTCTAATAAGTGATCAAGCTCAGTCTCTGTACAAACCTATATGTTTTATCTAGTAAGTGTAGCCACAGGCTTTAGCTTGTGTCATCTCGGCCTTTTCTTATGGTCAACCTGAGGCATATGATGCTAATGACCTACATCACAGAGCTGATTTGGGAATTAATGACCTAGATTATCTAGGCTATGAGTAGAGCTCATTAAATCCATAAGAAGTCCTCATGTATTGGCATTGATCAATATTTATCAATGAGCACCTTCAAATCCCTTTTGGAAGTAATCAGATTAAATAGAAATACATGAAAAATATATCTGTTCTACAGAATCTGTAGTTACTCAAACTTTCACAGCTCTGTTTGGTACTATGTAGGGAAGTAAGGAAAGGGAGTTGGTCTTGCCTGAGTGTTTTGAAATAGTATTAAAAAGTCTGTGTGTCTCAATCTAAGAGAGAAAGGATGAAGGGAAGAGGTGAGGAACATTTAAACCTCTATTAAACAATTTAAAAACACAATTTAAAAGCTCTAACACTGATATAGTTCACTGATTACTTAAAACATTCAAAGGCCTTTGTCGCTAAATGTTTCCTCTTTATAACTAAATTAAGTGTTAATGAGGAACATCACAATATGGTGTGCATGCTCTTTAATTGCTAACATCCAGACTTGCCTCTTCTCTTTTTTGGTTTTAATTAAGCTTTGAAAGATTGTATGCAA